CACACACACACACACACACACACACACACACACACACACACACACACACACACACACACGCCTCCTTTGCTGTTCTACTGAGATGATGAAGAACAGCCAGAGAGGACACACAGCAGCTGGTGTAAATGACAAACGTGCTCGTTGAAAAGACTGACTCTTTTTAACAACTCTTTGAAAAGAACAGATCCACCTGAYCCGCCTCCTTTCAGAGAGCTGTAAATCTCACCTCTAGACAAATCATAATGGACACCGGCTCTGCAGCGCTCATAATTAATGAGTCACTGTTTCTTCTTTTTTGTGTCAGAGATTGGAGGCTAAACTGCAATCCCAGATGGACTATGAGGAGATTAAAACTGAACTCAGGTGATAACCGGTGCAGTTAGAAGGTGTTAAGAAGTCATAATGTTATCAAAGATCCAGTTTTCTGAATGTTTTTTTTCTGCCCATAGTATACTAAAGGTGATGAAGCTGGCTTCAACAAACGGCAGCTCATCCCAGGTATATATGCTTCTTTTTAAACAGCAGATTGAGACAAACTATGAAATTAGACTGTTTTCTGTCATAAAAAACAATCTTTGTTGATCTGCCACCTCTTCATTGGAAAAGCTCACAGAATGTAACTGAATATTAACAGCTTTTGTTTTTGTTTGCATCCGTGTGTGTGTTTCTAGGATTCTGCAAAGGCTGCAGAGTCTATCTTGTTGGATAAAGAGGCCTTTCTTTCATCTCACAAGTACTTAGGAGAGAAGAGTCGAAAATTGCACAGCAATGGTAAGATGAACGATTAGTTTCTATAAATGGAATCATTTGAGTGAGCAGGGCTGGAGTGTTGTGAGGTTGTGAGTTTAGTCACCTTTTCATAGTTCACTGAATGAGCGGCACAAACTGGTCAATTTTAGTCAAATCCCTGATTGATTGATTTCAGATGGAAATCTTTGTGTTTAAATTGAGTTTGTAAAACCTTCTTCGGCAGGAAAACAAATCGTTTATCACCCTAATTCAAAAAAGCTGGAAAGTTTCACTAAATGTAAATAAAATTAGTATGCAATGATTTAAAATTTCACAAACCCATATTTGATTCACACTGAAATAAAGTAATTATCAAACATTTAAACTAGGAAATCATCTAATTATCTAAAAAAAGGTTATTTTGAATTTAATGGCAGCGACACGTCTCATGATAGATGTCGCATGACCTTACTTACCAGATTTTTTGTTTCTTGATGGACTCATGGTTTTAATCTGGACACCACTACTACAGAGCCATGCTGTTTAGATATAATATGAGGTTTAACATTAACTTGCTGAAATCTGCAAGGTCTTTCCAGAAAAAACAAACCTGAGAACAAGTAAATTCTGTTCTAAAACCTGTTCATGTCTAAGCTGCCTAAGATACAGACACTAATGCAACCACATACCATAAGAGAGGCAGGTTTTTAAACTGTGCTCTGATAACAGGCTGGGTGGTCCTGGTCCTCTACAGCAGAGATTCTTAACCCAAYTGGGCCGCGAGCACCACCTTGAGGGCCTCAAAAGAAGAGTTTTTAACTTTGGGCCGCAGAGGGCCGCATTGTTTTTGAATAAGGTGCAATACACTTTCTCACCACTAGTAGCAGTAGTGCGCCACTCAGATGTTTAACAACTTTTTTAATATGTAGAAGAAGAACCTTGCCGAGAATGGAAACCTATTTTAAATGAAAAAATAGAAACCAAAATGAAAACAACTCATCAAAAAATGCCAAAGTTTGTCACTAATATGAAGTTCAACCTCTGGTTCTACCATGCAATATTTTAAAAGTTCAAAACATTACCAAATACAGTTGCAGAACTATATTTTAATTTGCACTTTAAATTAATTTTTGTAGTTTATTT